TCATTCATGGGGCAAATGCCGAGGTGACACCTTGCTGCACCCACCCTCCATGCCCTAACTCCTGCGGCCTTCTCCGAGCAAGTGTCCAAGCCTGGGCACAGTCTATGCCCCATAACTCGTTGAGAAACTTGCTCATCTGCCTCAGCCACGATGCTCTCGGTCTCTCCACAGGCCGTCCCCACAACCAGGATTCCGTGTAGACAGAATTTGGCTGGCAGGGTCATTCCCCTGGAAGCGAACAACATGCCCGAAGAAGCGCAGCTAACGGTCACGAATCAAGCAGGTGACCCTCACCATGCCGGCCTCCCTGACTACTCTGCCCAAGGATTCAACGCACGGAGGTTGTCACAAAGGTGTTTAGTCTTTGCCCCAGCCCCTTAGTAAGTGTTCAGGCCTCACAAGAATATAGTAAGACCGGGAGCGCAAGGGACTTGAAGACTCAGACCTTTACACCTCTACTCAGATATCGCGATTGCCACAAACCTTTGACCAATGATCTCATAACATTCTGTGCAAGGCCAAGACGTCTTGTGACCTCAGCCTCACAGCTGAGTGCTACCTAGAATAATAACACAAACGTTGAACTTTGACACCGATTTTTTCCATTCTTTTAGGTTATGTTATCCATGGAGGCCTTCAGACTGCAATGTTTTAACACTTTTATTTATTTATGAATTATTGATTTCAGATAATTTAAAGCATTATGTTATTTAAGTCATTATTCAAGAAGTCATTTGCATATGTAGGTACGCTAAGGAAGTGAAATTATCAGTTCAGTGAGTAGCCCTTAAATTGAGGATTCTAAGGACAGATAACCGTAACACTGGACATCTTATTAAACCATACACATACATACCAGGGTATTTAAATCAATCTATAAACTATTATCAATTTTTTGGAAGCATTATAAAGACTGACCTTCTACACCTAAACAAACACATCCCTACCCTACCAAGCACTTATTTACTCCAGGTTAGAGAAAAGCACAGGACTAGTACAAGACTTGCACAAACTCTCCTACATGTACTATTTGTACAAATGTACTATGATATATGGATATCTGGGTCTTGGATTTGTCAATAATTATTTACCGTAGCATTAAGACTGTACTTACTGTTAAAAAAGTTTAGAGATACAAACACTCGTTTCTCAGCAGACTGTAATTTAGCAATATTCTAAAAGAAAAAGAAATGAACACAATTTCATATCAAGATAAGAAATGTTAATCAATTCAATCAAAAAATATTTAATTAATTTAAATTTCAGGTGAAAAACAGAACAATAACACAATTGCTTTATTAGTATGGAATGACTGACTGTGTTGATTGTAAAAATAGTCATATTTTAATGATCCAGCATATACTAAATGCAACTAAGTTGTCTATATACACGCCCCATTTACTACAGGAGAATAGATCAATTATTCAAACCAATAGAAGCAGAAAAAAATCTCTTAACCAACCTCATCCAACGGTGATCGTTTTATACAAAAAGATAGATCCTCTTCTGGGTCACTTTCATGCGGCCATATGCGTGGTGCCGGCATTGTTTTATCAGCCTTTGGGGGAGTGAAAAACTTCTTAAATCTACGCCCCAGAGTTGCTGAACCCTTGTGGATGCTACCTAAAATAGAAAACAATCACTGGATTGTCAGACCCAATTAAAACCAGCAACATAATATTATGCAATAACTTTTATTCTTTTTACATTTGGTCATCCAACAGGGAAAATGTCAAACAGTGTTTATGTGTTAGTATACGCAAACATTTTACACCTGCAATGTTGTAAGTTTATGCTCCATTCTTGGTTTATTGATGTGTTGTCATCTCCCTTGGGTGGAGAATACAATATACCAAGGAAAAAATAAAATTTGTCTGTACTCCTCCTTCTTGTAGAAAACATTGATAGGCGCATCAGTAATTAAGATCAACAGTGTGCATTGTTGCATAATGGATAGTGATTTCAAAGCAGAAACTAACTGGAAGTCAAAATCATTGGTAATGTTCTGGCGGACTTGAAATCATTGAAGTTTTAACATTCAAGACATATTCCCCACAATTTATGCATATACAGCATTAAGTACATCCTAGAATAATTGAATACACCGCAGAATACAATTGTCAAACACATCACAGAAAATTCCAATACATCACACAATTGTCAAATTACAGCATAGTCCAATACATCACAGAATAGTCCAATACATCACAGAATAGTCCAATACATCACTTGATTGTCAAACACATCACAGAATAGTCCAATACATCACAGAATAGTTGAATACATCACAGAATAGTCCAATACATCACACACTCGTCAAACACATCACAGAATAGTTGAATACATCACACGATTGTCAAACACATCACAGAATAGTCCAATACATCACAGAATAGTCCAATACATCACAGAATAGTTGAATACATCACAGAATAGTCCAATACATCACACACTCGTCAAACACATCACAGAATAGTCCAATACATCACAGAATAGTCCAATACATCACAGAATAGTCCAATACATCACAGAATAGTTGAATACATCACAGAATAGTCCAATACATCACACACTCGTTAAACACATCACAGAATAGTCCAATACATCACACAATTGTCAAACACATCACAGAATAGTCCAATATATCACAGAATAGTCCAATACATCACAAAATAGTCCAATACATCACAGAATAGTCCAATACATCACACACTCGTCAAACACATCACAGAATAGTCCAATACATCACAGAATAGTCCAATACATCACACGATTGTCAAACACATCACAGAATAGTCCAATATATCACAGAATAGTCCAATACATCACAGAATAGTCCAATACATCACAGAATAGTCCAATACATCACACAATTGTCAAACACATCACAGAATAGTTGAATACATCACAGAATAGTCCAATACATCACAGAATAGTTGAATACATCACAGAATAGTCCAATACATCACACACTCGTCAAACACATCACAGAATAGTTGAATACATCACACACTTGTCAAACACATCACAGAATAGTTGAATACATCACAGAATAGTCCAATACATCACACACTCGTCAAACACATCACAGAATAGCTGAATACACAAAAAGGATATATTGCGATATTCAACATTAGAATGGAGATGCCAGTAGTTAAAACAAATCGACTGTCTATATGGATTAGAGTGCGAGATCAGTTTGCCAAAGAACATCACATCTTCATTTCTATCTCAATCTCTGCACAGTATAAAGTCCCCTGTCTTACTTGAAGTTAATACTGTTCGTGAAAGACTCAACCAAGTCAAACTGAGACACAAATCAAAAAGGATCTTTGAGCCAAATTGACGAAACTCAATTAAGTAATGCATTTTTTCTGACTTAAAGGAAGACAGCTATCACAGATTTAAATCAAATCGGGTTTCTGCAACAGTGTTCTTTTCAAATTAGCATGTACAGTAGATTGTAACCTCAGACAAATGTCCGGTGCATCCATTAAACCGAGACTATTATTTTTAACTGACTATGGTTCATCATTTTTTGAGATTTGGCTGAATAACTTGAATACTGTGATTTCTTGGCAAAATGATTAAGTTTTGAAGCTAGTTTGCATACTGATGAGGTGATAATTAATTTATTCTAATGGTCATCTAATTTATATAATATGAATAAAAAATAGAATGAAATAAAAAAATGAGTGATGAGTCATGTTTCCATGGAAACAAAATTTAGTTCTTTCCAATTCCGACTAAATATTGAATGAAATGAAGGATGGGTATCAGGGTATTTTTTTACAGGTTTTTAACAATTTTTTATATTTTACATAATTTATCTATCCAATATATATTTCAAACAAATATTAATATCAGAATTATTTATGGAATACTGCGAAAAATTCAGGACAGAACACTAAATTTTGTAGAGTGCTCTTCACTAAATGTTCACAAGTGTATAGCATATCATATTTATTTTGAACACTGTAGGCAATTTATTATTGTGATAAATACGACACAGTGTATTCTGTCATCAATTTACATCGTTAATTGTCTGCACTTAATTTAAGCTTTTTTACATTCAAAACAAGAGTGTTACGAAAATGCATGCCAAGCATGTACATAAACAATTCACATAACACATCAAGTCAAGTCATTAACGAAATAATCCAAAATTCTTATTTGTTCATTTGTATTAAGACAGGAAACCTTTAAATATCGCCACTGGAAATATTAATTTGATTCTATAAGAGGGTGTGTTATCTTCAAATACAATTTTGTGAAATTCACCGCAACTCCTTGTTACGGGAACTGCTACAAAATAGTACTTATATATTATATTTATATTTTTTTTGCTCAAAAATTAACAAAGTTTTGCACATTCATTATTATTACAACCAAAAATTTATGGCCAATGGAATATTAAAATAGGCAACATAGACAAGTCATGTGATAACCTTATTACCATCAGACTGCAGGACTGACAGTGTTTGTTTAATCGTTATTTTAAAACTCTCCCTCAAATATTATGGAAACTTCAGTAACTAACAATAATGTTTATATTCAACCAATGTTAAATTACACTCATAGAAAGTTGATACACTCTAGATTATGTTGTTTTAACATGTATTCAGTTGACATATCAATAATTTCATTTCATGTAAATCGTATTTTTTTTTATTCATTTTTAAAATACATTATTCTACAGTACTCTGGAATTTTAATTACTATCCAATCAAATTAATAAATGGTAAAACTGTTTATAATTGTTAAATAATGGAACATTTGTTTCATATGGGTCCTACATGTAATACCAAATTATAGAAAAGAGAATTTATTAAGACAAGCAAAAACGCATACAATAGTAAGCACAATTTAAAAATATGAAGGATAAGTCTGATTTAAATTTTTCCCCTTCACCATACATTATTTGCGCTAACTTGCTAATTACATCAATTAACAAATCTATGTTTAATGATGTTTACAGTTAAGTCATCCCAATTTGGCCTAAATTTAGGTGGATAATAAAAAAGTCAGGGACCGATGACAAAAAACATCTGTAGGAGATCTTCTAAATTTAGTCTTATTGCATAATTATGCAAAAAAAATTTTGTTATGTTTGGAAAAAATAGTATAGAGCAGACAATAACTTTTAGTAGGGTAGTGTAATGTAATATGAACTATACTTATTTTTTATTTGCTCTTTAGCTAGATTTTATTTTTACTTATTTTTCAAATGAAAAATATAAATGTGATAAATAGACTATTTTATGTTCACTGCAAGATCCCACATTATACATGAAATCAAACGTAAAAACGGCACGGTATAGCTTTGTAATAATGCCCAAACCTTGCATGAGATTCAACAAATGAAAGTATTTTTTTTATTTCAACGCTTATTAATCTGCTATACACATTTGATGATGGTCAATTTCACTGAATCTCCACATTCCCTTCTGAAAGCTGAGCATTTCAACATTGAAGTATGAAAAAATTGAGTGAGATCTTGCAGTGAGCGGAAAATCTCCGATTAAAACCCTGTAAAAATGCAGTGTCAACCCCAGAATGTTTCCTTCGCTATATGCGAGTTTATGACATAGTAAATATCACTACAAATTCACATTTTTATTTCTTTATGTACGGAAAATTATTCTGTTTAATGAATCTGTATTGAGTAAAGACTAACATTTAACCTTTTCACCACCAGTATCGTCTTTTTATCACAAATTTATAAAATAGTCCTGTTTATAGTCTTCATTTTTCCCCAGAAGATTTGGAAAAAAATAGCCAAATTTTTTGAGTAAAAACTGAAAATTGTATGTTGGCTCCAAAATTAAGGTTTATTTCCAAAATTATTGAAGAATACAGTATTAGAAAATGTGCAGAAAAAATTTGGCAAGAAATTCTGGTGGTGAAAAGGTTAATTTTCACTGCTAAAAATGTTTGCGATTTCGTGAACACAAAACTTTGCCAAAGTTGCAATGTAGGTGCTCGAAGAAAATATTATTGCTACAAAATTTTTACTGACATTGAAATCTCACATTTATAGATTAATTCTATTCTGGGGGCGGACATTTAGGCATAATCACCACCTGGCAACTATCATGGTGAAAACAAAGACTGAAAACTCTAAGAAAACTGTACTTTGGGATGATTGTTGAGACTCTCCTGAACAGTGTAACAAGATTACTTTCTTATGTGTTACATATATACATTTGGTTGCTCAAGGATTACTGGGTACTTCAAAGTTGAGTTTGTGTCACTTTCTCAACTATAGCTGTTTTCACAGGCTCCTCAACAGATGTTCCACAGCAGCTTGCACAGAGCCCATAGAAATACATGTCTTAGCAACATAGAACGTTTTGTTACATAACTCTGCCCCCAAGAATATCTGGTAGGGAAAGGGAGGAAACAACACCAGCGTTACAAAACACTTCAGTAAAGAAATGGTGGTATTTAAAGTTTGGTTGTTTTCGCTATCCCTGTAAATACTGATCTGTCACAAGTTAGAAATAAATTAGATTCAAAAATACCAAAAAAAAAGCCTAAAACAACAAAAATATAATATGTGGAGAATGAAATTAATTTTATTGCTTCCTGAAAATTTATAACACTGTATTCAAATTTCAATACCCAAATTCCAACTTTTAAGTGTGAAAACAAATTCAAAATTTTGTTCAGCTCCTAAAACCCAAAACTTGTTATTATCCATTTTCTAAAATTATTGTCTTAAACTCACAACACATGCAAGTGACTTTACCAACATGACAAGTTTATTTTATTCAGTATTCTATTTTATTCATTTTTTATTTGAACTCTCATTAATACACCATAGCTAAAACGAATTATTGATTTTCATTACAAATATTGTATTTTAATTGTATGTCGTTAAAGTCTATCATCTAATTAAACCATAAATCAATCACATAGAGGCACACATTTTCACGCAGACACATTTTCTTTCATCTTAAATTTATGTTTTGTTTTTGAAACATTTTTCCAATATTTATGGTTTCAAAAAAAATTTTAAATTAGTTTTTTTTTTGAGAATGCCAAATAATTATGAGGCTAAAATAAAAAAGCAGTTCTTTTATTGCATATGACCATGTATACAAACAAGCAATATTTTTACAAAATATGAGAAAATCCCACTACTATATCCAAAAATTTTAATCAACTTCACATTGCAGCCCTCTGTGTAAAGTAAAACAAGAGTTAAAGCTGTACCATTACGAATTGTGACGTCACAATGCGAATTTAAACAGTTTATTGCAGTATTTTTCACTCATCAAGGCTATTATTAATATCATGCATGACCTTGTTCCGATCACGATGCCCCCCCCCCCCCCCGTGAACTTTGACATTAGAGATTTAGATTGTGTCCGAACAACTTCCTTTGCTAGTAACCGGGATATGAACCACGATCTCGAAACAATGGCATATCATTTTTCAGACATCCATCATTGACAGCGTATAGGGTAAAGATTAAAACAAAAAAAGTAAAACAGTAGCTTCCAAAACGTACGTCAACTCACATCTGTCCACTTGGCTGATCGATCTGTAAACACGCATGGGCTGATGAAATCACTCTAAAAAGTGGGTAAAACAGCCCCTCCCCTTAAAATAACACATGACTGGTAATTGAAAACACTGCTTGTTAATTAGGTCACAGGTTCAAAACGCGAACCGAGGTGTGGATGTCTAAAGCGATCGACCAAGAGAATGTCTTCTTCTGTCAAGACATTATTTCTTACCGTCTGGTTTCATGGACATCTTAGCCGATGTGATGGTTTATTTGATAACTTGGCAGATTCTGTACATCACATCTAATACACAGGTGGCCCTGGAAGATATCTTGACGTTAAGTATTCGGTCATCCAGTTTATTCATGTTCGCTTTTGCATCCAGTTATACGCCATGATGGTCCGTGACTTCCTCAATAAGGAGCGACCTCCATTGAAATCTCGTTAAGCTCTCGCCATGGCTTGACGCCGTAGGACACGAGACTTTGTGCGGTAGCCACACCCACGCCTAACTGTGCAAAGCGAGTGACGTACGGGCCCGTACGGATAACCCCATAAGCTGAAGATACGTGCTTGTGGTTACGAGTGTGCAGTTTTATTGGTACATCGTGACTTCAACAAACCAAAAGCACCCCGCAAGTTGGTTAACACCATGTAAATAATGGAAATTACCAACTTGGTAGGAGGCTAGAACCTCTAAACCCTCCATTTATCCATTTAGGGTTTGACAATTATTCACTCTGGGGGGAGGCTACTCTATCAATGTTGTGTATTAGTATTGTTTATATTGTATTAATATTTTCTATAATTTTCCCTGTAGATTTTTTTCTAAAAATTCTAGATTTTATAGATTTCCACGTTATATTCAAAATCCATCCCGCGTGCCCCCTACTTTATTTTTTTAGTAATTTGAATATGTTTACAACTAAAAATAATTGTATTATCAAAGTGAAACGTGACTCCAGGTGACACCAAGTATTGTTACCTTGAACATGGAAGGTACTAACGTTAGTACCTTCCATGCCATGAATAATCGACAAAAAGAATCGTTGTGTGACGCACGACAATAGAGGGCGCCATATAAATTGAAGAATGCTTGTACAAAACAAATCAGAGTAATTCCTAGCGGGTCAATTAGGATTATTTGAAATCATGCATGGCAAGAAAAAAATAATATATACAGTCATACAGACTTAGTTACAGCCTAGCATACCACAAGAAGTGCGTCCATAACTTGAAGCTCAAACACGACCTCTTAAACTGTCCTGGGGGGTCTACCGTGACTAGATCCTCAAATGTCTTTCATAGATTAAATGTTTTTCATACGGATATATGCACACGGAAATTCGTTGTCACTAAAACCCTACATAGAGCTTCGTTTAAAAATTGACACGAGATAAATAAGTGAAATCAATATCACTGCAAGTCCTGGTCGAACTACCACGCATCGCATACACGCCTTGTTCTTTATTTTAATTGTTTTCTTTTATTAGTGTAAATTATTTGTTGTTACGCCACTGGCCCAAGTACGTAAATAAATAATATATATGTACTGTAGAAATAATAAATCACATTATTGTAGTTGTTGTTTTGTTTTTCTTTATTTTAAAGGCATGACAACTGAACAATGCAACTATATACATGTATATATACATTTCATGTATTTTACACGCGTTGTATATGTCGCTGTGAGTTCCATATCGAACAAGGCGCGGCGCAACGACCACCACCCTTCTAAACAAAGATTTAAAGATGATTTTCAGGTAATTTTCGCACCTAAACCAAGTTTAAACGATTTCTCTAATAAGTGGCTTTCGCTAGAGAGCGCATCTCAACTGAAAAGTACTATTTTCTAAACCCCTGGATCGATTTGGAAATTTGGTTGTCCCACATCCAATCAAAGCCCAAATTTCCCCCAAATACACGCCTTACGGCAATTGAGACAAATTGATGGCGTTATTATGATATAACTTCCGTTACATGCTAATATAGGCATTTCTAAAACAAGGACTACCTGTCAATTATAGCAGTTAAAGCATGGGAGTCGTCACCCGCGCATGCGGCAAACGGACATAACGTGTAGTTGTTTACAAACAAGCGTATACCCATGAGCCTTTGCATTTTTAGCATGCGTTGTTATCGTCGCTTGGGACTCAATTCCCACGCATGCGTAGGTGACAACACTTCCGCTTTAATATACTCAGAAATAGAATTATAAAGTATACAAGACAACCGTAATTGCTAACACGCGATAAAAACTGTTGACATGATTAGAATACGTACCATTTACGCAGTCATCTCTGTCATCATAATACATTACAAACAGTCATGTAAAGTCCTCTCCCGTCATTAGATTCAGACCCGGTGAGTATCCACTCTCTGTCTGACTGCGTGTAACCAAGACTCGACAACTATAATTGTCTGCTGTGTCTGCCAGTCCCATATCAGACTGACCTGAACTATATTGCAACACACTCACTCTCTGTATATATATTTATAACCTTTGGGTGATAAGCAAGTAAAGTCTGGTTACATATCGCTAAAAATAACCATGACAACGTTGTTCACATTTCTCCAGCTTCACTGGCGCTATAAATAGAATGTCTGAACACGTCTGCTTGATTCATTGGTTGCAGGAGAACATAGACTTTCCATGATAGTTAATTATCTGGATATTTAGATAGTTCAAAAAAATATATACATAATTAAACTCAAATATTTATGATATTCGTATTTTACGTAGATTATTCAATGCATGAAACTTAAAAACTACTCTATGTTGTAATATGGTTTCATTTGTGCATGAAATTAATCAGGACTTTGTAACTTTGTTCAGAAGGGGTTTCATGAATAATACTCATGGATATATTTGTTTCTGTATTTTCTAAAAAGTGCAAAATCAATAAGAAATGTTCCTCAACCTAATTTGAAACACAAAAACGCTTCGCATACAATTTTAATCGAATACCGTAAATACTGTTTGTGAATATCTGAAATGCACATAAGTAACAGCAGTCAATTAAGAATCACATGACCAAGAAAGTATTATTAAAACTAAGAAGAAAAAAACACCAACGAAATGTGGATGGGTGGACTTTTAAGTATGTGTTTCCTGCTAACAATAATAAGGCAACAACAACAATATTTTGGCATATACGAAGAGTTGTCAAATGAAGTCGCTTCACGTGTTTACGTTAATAAATTATCACAATGTCAAATCGAGAATCCCATGACCAGTATGATT